CCTGCCCCTCTGAAAATAATTATTAATGATCAAAATCTTATACTCCGATCAGAGGTTACTAGGCCATGGTATTGTGTCAATTTCTGGTATTTAAATACCACCACACAGATACATTGCAATAAATTACTTTACTATTTAAAATTACATTCCAATGGTTTTCAACATTTTCTAAAATTAGATTAGAGGAGAAAGCATGAATTCCTATCCCACAATGCATTGTTATTTATGCTCAGTAGAGGGAGCACTTCAATTTGGCGCTAACTCTGTCAGATATGTAACAGAATAGAAGAAGGTTAACTAAATGTTTTTGTTTTGAAGGGCACTATTAAAGAAGTCATACATGTATGCTACAATTTTTTACTGTTGCATTTACTATACAATTATGGATTTAGCAATTTGGTTAAAAAAAATCACCTTTTTTAAACAAAAACAGTGAAATGAAGGATTTTATATTAAATGTCAGCTTAAGTTTCAAACAATTAAAATTGTTTGTCATGAAGGCCGCTCTCCCCAATAGTCTATAAGCTGACCCAACTTGACTTTTATTTAGGATTCTATTTTGACTCGAGATCCCTACAAAATCAATCTTGTTAGAGGGCGCACTGTTTATGGTTTGACATTCTACCAACTTGTACTTTTGAGTAATCAGAAGAGCGCCCTCTTTAGACGAACATTGCATACACCTACAGAGCATGTCAATTCATATTAAAATGTGCTTGATTGTCAAGTCAAACTAGAGGGTACTTATAATATACAAATTACGGGTTTTAAGCAAATTTGTAGCCTTGCTTGTGGATATATATGTAATAAGACAATGACTTTGCGAGTTATTTAGTGATTCAAATTCATATTATGGTATTGTGTTTAAATTGTATGAAAAGGTATTAAATGTCTGCTTTACCAAATGTAAATTAGATTATTTCCCCCTCTACACATACAACAACATTATGTAATTACATACACCTAGCAAGACAAAATCTCCTGTCTAGGACAGGCCTTAATGCAGTTTGAGCCAAATTCATATTTTGTACTACTGAGCTTGTATAGGCACATGTATGCAATGCATTATGGGAGAAAAACATTTCCTTGTGTATAGTGGAAAAACAGTATCACCCAGGCAACTCACTAAATTATATAACAATTTTTTTAAATGATTTTAAAATGTTAGATTTCATATCAAAAATACACTTCTATGTCACAGAGCACAATTTTGACCATTTTCTAAATTTTACATTTCGGACTTGTGTATCTGAAAAAATCATTCAATGGTGATCCCATTTTTTTTTCTTTTTTTTGTAATCTCAATTAGTATGAACTAATAATAATGACAGTATGACAAACATGACATATCTTCAATTTACTTCAAACCTCATTAATATGGATTCCTGAAGATGAACAATGTCAGTACTGTTAACGATACTCTTATAAACATTTATCACAAATAGACATGCATATAAACCGAAAATTGACTGGATCCACAGTCACCTGACATGTGACTTGGAGTAGAAAGAAAGGCAAGTTACAAAACTGCATTTTTTAAACTTTACTTTTACAATTTTACATACAAAGGTATATTTTGGCATTAACAATAACCCTGAACACCAAAGCCTGACCACCACTGACCAATGAGCTAGTTGATTATGAAAGAAGTGTGCGTTCATTATAGTAGCCAGCTGTTCCACACATCCTCTCTCTTCCATGTTCTAGGGTCACTGTTAATCAAGAGTTTTCACTGTCAAATTATTCCTTCAGATGTTGGAATTTGGTGATTTTTATTCATTATGACAGGAAGAAGAATACCTCTTTATTACCTCAACATCAACTGTAATTTTTTTATTTTTATTTTCTGTAAACAGAAAGATTAAAATGAGCGGCATCACAACTTTTGCTTTCATTTCACACTTCAGGTCACACCGATTGACTGTGACTGGATACCAGGCTATAGCATTTTTGCTCTATTACTGCATGCACAAAAGAAGCTTATATAAAATAAAATTCACATTTGCTCAGTGTTGTATTCTGAATCATTGAAATATTACTCTGTAATATAAGCACATGTGCTACTAACAGAACAAATATGATATAGTAATTCTGCAATCCAATGAACTGATTACACAGCCATATTTGAACTATTAGTAAGAAATGTGCTTTGCACCACAGATGTGGTATATATGTGATCAAAGTTGTATTTTTTAGATATAGTACACTATAATAAAGTGCACCTAATAGAGCAAATACAGCATGCTAGGAGCTCAGACATATCTTGACTACATCCAAGGCTACATAAGTATTGCCATGGTTTGATACCACTACTATGCTACAATGTATTGTTAAGAATGACACAATGCTTTAAAGGTGTGCTCGCTCTGAATTTTAATTCCACTGTCCTGGAGTCCTGAAGTGTGACATTCAAATTAAACTAAGAGATCCAATTGTGGTGGACATCAACAAGTTTTTAGTGGATGAGCATAGATACATGTAGTTAACACTGCCACTCATGATTTACTACATTCAATATATTGAAAGACTCTTTTCATGCTTTGTGTTGAAGTCAGTACTAACACTGCCGACACACCTCATTAAATTCCAACCACGATGCAAATCTATATTTTAAGACTGCACTGGACACAGAAATAACTGCTGTTTATGTCTCACAGGACACCCGGCAACTGATAAACCAAATTGAAAAAAAATGTAAATTACGTGCTGCGTATGTTTTAAAACTGACAAGGTACCAGGTGAAAACATTGCATCCTGGCAAACTTCAAGAGCATATTTGTTTGCTACATAAAATATAGAGTTTTTATGTAGTGTACCCCTATATTTGATTTGTTCAGATGGAATGCTAAATATTATACAGCATGCTAGGAATCTGTACTGAACAAGCCCCATTATTTCCCTCATCACAATTTCTAACATCTAAATTGGTCCCGCAGGGAGAGTTGTCTACAGCCTGATACAAACATGCAGATATAGCCAAAGGCAAGTTAATTATTGCCAAGAATTGAAAAGCAGTGTTTACTATAATGGGCATAATATACATGAGTAAATCATCATCATTTATAGTATGTCTTATGGTTTAGACATTAACACATGTACAAATAGACTAATATTCCAAAAATTTGGGATTGACAGAAAAAATTTTGACTCAAGTCATCAGCATTTACAGTTTCTATGTAAAAAAAAAAAGATGCATAACTGTCTCTGAAAAAAGGTAAGGCAACAATCCCAGGAATTGAACCTGGGAGACATCATTGTCTGCACTTTTTATCAAAAGTAATTTGAATTTAGGTAAATTTGCAATAGGATTAGAATTTCATAGTAGGGGATGAAATTAAAACTTAAAGTTGCTTGTCCATTGGATTGGTTAGGGAATTAAAAAGAACCTATACCAATTGAATTGATGATTACGATTACATTATTTGAAATAAAATTTTCATTCTTAGTTCCTCATAATTTAGCAACTTTCCAGACATATCGAGTAAGCAACTTGGAACAACCCCATTTGGACAGTTATAAAAACTTGCTATCGGTCTGGGACGGGTGGGCAGGGCTTAATTTTGACCCCTGGAAAATGTACAATAAACTTGTATGGTACAATACAATACAATACAATACAACACTAACTACTATTCACATTAAAATCATAACTATGGTGGAAAGAATATTTTTAATTTTGATGGAGATGCTCCTATCTAATAGTTTTCACTAGATATGTAAATTAACTACTTAGACAAACAGCAATACTGAAAGTAGCTTTGAATAAATTAATTGAAGATGGCATTAAAAATTATCTAACATTGTATCAACACTAACCAATCAGTGGACAACTTTGCTGCATTGTGACTTTCCATCTAGCTGAAACATGTAAATCATAAATTAACGAAAATGGTCTTTATGGTCTTTAAGCTTGAGGTATGTTGACACTGTTCTGAAAGTATTCATGAAATACCAAAAAAAAACTTCTGTTTAATCAATCCACAATTTAAGGAATACAAGACACCAAAGACACAAACTTTTTTGAAAAACTAATCAAGAAATATAACTTTTTAAATATTTACAGCCATCAATTAATAGTATTATATGACCAGGCACCCAGATAACATCGGATACTTCATGTGTCAGTATGTGCCGGTTTATGTAAACAAAACACTACTTAACCTCAGACTACTCCATATACCTGATGACATGTCAGATGTCTATGCTTGTGTAATGTCTGTTGAGATACAACTACACCCGAAGCCAAATTACAGAACAGCATACTAATATGAAAACAATCATTTTGTTATCTAGTATGTAAATAGATATAGTCCCAGAGACGCAAAGTAATTACAGCATTATATTATATCTAAATATATCGATATTTGAGTGACAGGGCACTAAAGGTCCACTATTGAATGCACAGCCGATATGTGCAGTTTCGTTTGCAGGGCTATAATATTCGCATAGTCAACAACCTTGACCCCGTGACCTTACGTTCAACTAAACCCTCTCGAACGCAAACATCCGCCTTATTTATATTTACTCGGCACTACATTTGTTCGGGAAAATAAATAAAATAAACAATGGTCACACGTTCCACTCCCTATTAGCTAGGATTGTAATGGATACCGTGGTTCATGAACAAAACGTGTGTTTGTGTACAAGCACACAAACAATCTCACAGATAGCTGATTGAAATTCAAGATGGCTGACCACACGCCCCGTCCACACGCAAGTGTAATGTAAACTTGTAATTCGAGTAAGGTCCTCTCAGGAGACACGCGTCCAGGAAATGCATGTCGAAAACATTTCGCATCCGTGCATAGGGCCGAACAGCGTTGCTCGATGCACGGCAATAAGCAGAGTATAGCTAATAGTCGCAAGCTGATCTCGTCGCCGTCAAAACAAAACCCACAGCTGATCTGGTGCCGACAACACATCGCTGTTCATTAACAACAAATCGAAAACAAGCACCAGTTTTGTGAACCCTGTGAGTCTGGAATAACATTAAATCTTACCCAAGTCATCCATTTCTATAGGTGATGGCTAGATATCAGTGCAGGACCCAAATGGTGTTAAAAATCACAAGCAGTAGTCCCCGTATAACGCAGAACATGTACTTATGGCAGGTACGCTGTTGCCAATATGGGCTACGATTGGTGTGGTCACGTGATGATTGTAATGACGTCAGGTGACCCATGACTTGTAAACCACACCTGTTTTTGAAACTGTGTAAACAAACAAAAAAAATAATTAGTACGTTTTCCGAAAATATTTGTTTTCTCAATTTCGTCATTTTTTAAAAATCAAAGTCAACAGGTGGGCAGTCAACCCTCACAATTTTCCCGCCAAAATGTTGGTGCAACATTATGCACATTTCAAATATATTTTTTATAATTTTATAATTGGACTGTCATATTTTCATTGACATTGCATACATGTCTTTATCATTTCTTTAGAGAAATATAGAAAAATAAGCGAAATATTTTGTGAAAAAAGAACTAAAAGCTAACTTTGGCGTGTACGGGATTCAAGGAACTTGGGTTAACCTATACTACACCAAATCCTGTGTCTATTTGTTTTGGAAAGTGGCATTTTATATTACTGTGACCGCACACAAATAGAACAGGAATGTGTATAGGTTATTATAACCGACTTCTAACATGGCCATGCGCCCTCCAATAATAAAATGTTGCATTAGATTAACCAATCATGTGAGTTCGTTTGACGATCTTCTGTCAATCAAGATCAGCTGACAAAGCCATGTTCTAACTAACTTTTCTCAATTTATACAGAGAATATAAATCGTGAATCCGGCGATCTGATTGGTGGAGGGCGCATAGCCATGTCAGAATGCAGTACATGTATTCGACACTGTTTTGCTAATGATATAGCTATATATATATATATATATATATATATCTTACAATGTAGCAATTACTTCCCGTGGCAAAATCATATTGTGTAATATAGCTATTTCGTTACTATTAACAGAACAATATCTCATACTGCAATGTTGTCCGTTCCAATCGTGTTTGTGGTCGCGGTAAATATATGATAAGTAGTATTTACACTAGGGAAAAGAAAAAAAAAAGATACAATCATTTTCTACAAACGAGCAGATTTTGAAAGCATGTTTAATTTGATCCTTGGTCCTGGCGAAATGTAGATTGTTTCAGCCACAATAAGTATATCCTAGGAAGTTGAGTAGATTACTCGTAAATACTAATTCAGTTTTATAAGTGTGCTGCCTATTAAAATTTAAAGCTCAATTGGAAAACAGCTGCCATTGAAATGTATAAATATTTTTAAAGTAATTAGTTACCAATACCAAGTTGCTTTCAAGAGATATGCGTTTAAAAGAGAATCTTGGCCAGAAGTTTCATTAAGACGCGGAAATTCCGCCATTTGCCTGTAATATCGTTACCTCGGCAACTTTACCTTTTTCTCTCCTGTTCTGTAGTTTTAGTGACCTTACTGCTGCACTTTCCTAAGTTAGTGTTGTGTCAATAAATATACTATATATACAACACGATATTGTATACCTTATTCAGTGTATATTTTTAGTGTGATTGTGAAGTCAAATCAGTAGTTTATCTATTATTTGGAGGGGTCAAAATCACTAATTTGAATTTTATGAACATTCACGAAACATTATGTAAACATATTGGTGGAGGCTACATTTTTCTATGTTTTGTATAATTTTTGTTTTATCACAGAGTTTCTTTAGAATTGGCATTTTAGACATATTGAGAAATTTTTAAAAAATACGTATTTAAAATGCACGTTTTTGCATTTTAGGCACGTTGGCTATTTTTGAAATGCATCTTCAGCATTATGAATATCTCAAAGTGCAACAAGGTTCATACCAAATAACGTGAAAGTGATCGTGACCAGTTTGAGAATAGGTAGTCGACCCTTGTATCGGAAACAGACATAATCATGAGGGGAACACATTACATCATGTTTTAATGTACCCACCAAGGACATGCTTGCCAACTATAAAATGTGAGTGTGTCCAATCATTACCACTAGATGGCGCACTACGTACACACATACATACATACTATGGTAGAAGACCAATCACGTACAGACCGGAATACCGCTAGATAATATATGCGATAGATCATGCCCTCTTTTTATCGGTTTCTAGCAATTAAGCAATATACAAATACACGAATATACATATTTTACGGTAACTCTGGCTTATCAGAGTTCAGAACCAATCTCATTCCGCTTTTCTAATTAGTAGGTAGGTCCTAAATTAAAAATAATAGTGGCTCCAAAATAGAACCTTGAGGTATAATGTTTTGGTAAGATTGGGTCGGACATGTGACTATAGTAACACACGTGTTGTTTTCTTCCCAACATTTTAAAATATGATGAGGTGATACCAGTTTTTGAAGAGGGAGTCTGTGGTCAGACCAAATGCTTTTCGCAAGTCATCGTATGAAGCACCTACAAACCTCTTCTTGACGATATCGGACTATATTGCGGTCATACTAACCAGAATGGAATCATCTAAAGACGGATTGATTACCACGTAGAATGTTGTTGTACTCCACGCATTTGGATAAAATAATGCGTACGCGATGCTCGAATATATTTTTGATAAAACTAGAAGCCACTGATTGGGCGATAGTTAGCTGGATAGGTTGATCCGTTGTTATGAAATGGCAGAACTTTAATCTTCCATGTATTTATAACTGTTCTACACCTTATGCACATATTTAAACTAATGGACGACGAGATGGCGTCTGTGGGGATTTAATCAAGACCCTTCGATTTATTGGAATCTAACGCTTTTAGTAGTTGGTCTCCCATAAACCTCTCACTGACTTCATTCATTTTGAAATCAACGTCTGTTTTTTTTTTTGCAACGTCATCAGTTCACTTGTTGACAATATGTTTTTTACAGTTGTCCTGGCAATGAAACCGTTTGCAATGTCACGTTCAACCTACAAAATGCTTTCATTTATATTCAGCTCTGATAAAGAACGATTACGTCCGCCGGGAACAAGTTGTTCATAGTACACCCTAATACAAATGATGAAAACACCTTCTTTTTATGTTGCCAAAGCTAATGTGACATTAATATAGGCATCTCAGATCTAACACGTCATAGATATGTATTTGAATGACACGTTCAATCTTTTTTTTATATTTTTATGAAAAATGTTTTTGTGCTAGGCGACTTTCAGTAGTCAGGTGGTCGTGAGTTACTGGCTAAGTAGTCAGGTGCTCGTGAGTTTCTGGCTAAGTAGTCAGGTGCTCGTGAGTTACTGGCTAAGTAGTCAGGTGCTCGTGAGTTACTGGCTAAGTAGTCAGGTGGTCGTGAGTTACTGGCTAAATAGTCAGGTGGTCGTGAGTTTCTGGCTAAGTAGTCAGGTGCTCGTGAGTTACTGGCTAAGTAGTCAGGTGCTCGTGAGTTACTGGCTAAGTAGTCAGGTGCTCGTGAGTTACTGGCTAAGTAGTCAGGTGCTCGTGAGTTTCTGGCTAAGTAGTCAGGTGCTCGTGAGTTACTGGCTAAGTAGTCAGGTGCTCGTGAGTTGCTGGCTAAGTTGTCAGGTGTTCGTGAGTTACTGGCTAAGTAGTCAGGTGCTCGTGAGTTACTGGCTAAGTAGTCAGGTGCTCGTGAGTTACTGGCTAAGAAGTCAGGTGCTTGTGAGTTACTGGCTAAGTAGTCAGGTGCTTGTGAGTTACTGGCTAAGTAGTCAGGTGCTCGTAAGTCACTGGCTAAATAGTCAGGTGCTCGTGAGTTACTGGCTAAGTAGTCAGGTGCTCGTGAGTTTCTGGCTAAGTAGTCAGGTGCTCGTGAGTTGCTGGCTAAGTAGTCAGGTGCTCGTGAGTTACTGGCTAAGTAGTCAGGTGCTTGTGAGTTACTGGCTAAGTAGTCAGGTGCTCGTAAGTCACTGGCTAAGTAGTCAGGTGCTCACGAGTTACTGGCTAAGTAGTCAGGTGCTCGTAAGTCACTGGCTAAATAGTCAGGTGCTCGTAAGTCACTGGCTAAGTAGTCAGGTGATCACGAGTTACTGGCTAAGTAGTCAGGTACTCGTGGGTTACTTGCTCAGTAGTCAGATGCTCGTGAGTTACTGGCTAAATAGTCAGGTGATCGCGAGTTACTGGCTAAGTAGTCAGGTGATCGCGAGTTACTGGCTAAGTAGTCAGGTGCTCACGAATTACTGGTTAAGTAGTTACGTGCTTGTGAGTTACTGGCTCATTAGTCTGGTGCTCATGAGTTACTGGCTAAGTAGTCAGGTGCTTGTGAGTTACTGGCTAAGTAGTTACGTGCTTTTGAGTTACTGGCTAAGTAGCAAGGTGCTTGCGAGTTACTGGCTAAGAAGTCTGGTGCTCACGAGTTACTGGTTAAGTAATTACGTGCTTGTGAGTTACTGGCTAAGTAGCCAGGTGCTTGCGAGTTACTGGCTAAGAAGTCTGGTGGTCATGAGTTACTGGATAAGTAGTCAGGTGCTCGTGAGTTACTGGCTAAGAAGTCTGGTGCTCGTGAGTTACTGGCCAATTAATCTGGTGCTCAACTCACAATATATTTTTCACATAAATGACGCCTGACATCCACCCCTAGATACATCTGACATTGTGTCAGATACAGGTTTCCAGATGTTTCTTTCCCCCTCAACAGGTTTTTATATCTGCTTTTTTCTTGCTGGTCAATGTATTCCTGATGGGGGCTTTAGCATTGATTATTTCATGTATATATACATCAGTAAGGGGAGGGTGCATGTAATAGTCGTGTGTGGCTTCTGGGTACTGCAACCACATTTCATGCTTTTTGTGTAATTTGTTTGAATAACTGAAGTAGAGTATAGATTGAAAGTATAGTCTGGTCTGATATGACAAACCAACACAATCTGGCCATCTGACTGCAGATTCCAGTCCGGTCAGATGGTACTGCATTCCAATCTAGCCAGTTAACAGCAAATACATGTCTGGCCAGGTTTGACAACAAATCCCAGTCAAAATCTGGTAACACCAGACACAGACTACTCATACGACAGCAAATTTCAGTTCAGTTACATTATTGCCAACCCAAATCAGGTTAGTTGACAGTTGATTCTAATCTGGCCAGATACAAGAGCAAACTAACACTGCAGCAGGAATAACTCAAGGCTCTGCATCATCAATGCAAAAGCCTTATATAAA